TTTCTCTCTGCGGTTGAGTTCCTGCCAGTTCACCCCCAGTTTCAGCTGCTGAACATCATCAGCTTATCTGAAAGTAAGATTTAAAAGACCCTATCATCTTTGGTGATCTCATGCCTACACAACATCCTTTGTTCTAATGGTGAAATTAATGTAAGCTGATCTTTTACCTGCTGACCTCTATAACTTTATTCCTGTTCCTAATTACAAAGAAACACCTGTGCAGAGGAGGTGTTTTGAAGGTGACAGTTTCTGCTTATCAAGCAACAATTGACAGCTACAATAAAGCCTGATTCATGCTTCTCAGTCAGCTCCAACAGGGAGAGACACGCACGGACGGAGACGTTTAGCTCTCATACTTCTCCGTCTCCTGGGGAGTGTTGCAAAGCAATTCCCGGACCAGACAGCAGAGGGCAGAGAGCTGTTCTGTGGTATCCTGTCATGTATCGGTCCAAAATAGTGTGATGATATTGTGTTTTTTGTATATAAGAGACTTTTTAACAGATACATTTGTCTCATTCTCCTACACCTCTTCATGGGCTCGCCACCTCTAAACCCACGATTCCTGTCATTTCCGTCTACAAATAAAACACTTGCTGTGCATCATTTCACTCCTCCAGTCACGGGGAATAAAAACGTTCAAGTTTTTAGAGATTTTTTGCGAGGTGTTCTTCAAGTTTCCCCATGTCTGTCGCTAGTTATCCTCAGCTCTTTGTTTTTGAGTGCGCAATGGCGGCGCCGTAGACGACAACGGCATGCTGACCAATCACAAGCTTGCGCTGTCCGTCTCGTTAAACAGATGTTTAAAAAAGTGGGCTCGACTCCGTGCGTACTTGCGTGCCTGCTGGGCACTATGCAAGGACGGATAATGGAGTTGTGTGTCTCCGCACTGACGCAGGAGAAGCATGAATCAGGCTTAAGATCAACCCTCCTATATTCATGAAACCAAAGAAGTCCAATTGCCTTCTTTAAAAATCCATTTGATGTCATACTGAACAACTGTTGTATTTGATTCTAATTTGAATGATTCTGTTTCAGGTGGAAATGCTGTGTGATTCCTGTGTCCTGTGGCCCATGACCTGTGTCAGCCCGGTTCTGGATATGGCCTTGCTGAGTTCTCTGTAGCAAGGTTTTCTGGCGCTTGGGGCCGTTCCAGAGTGCACCTGGTCCTTGGCGGTCTCACACTTCATATCCCAGCACACGCACGAATACATGCTTGTTGATGTTTGTTGTTCATGATGTTTGTGGTTCATGGTTTACATGTTTATAGTTGTTCATCCCACGTTTTCTTGATGACTCTTAGAAATGTTTCTTCACAGGTGCAGCTGCTGGTTGCTGTTTTTATGTTGGTTTCCTAGTTGTATTAATTTTTCTCCGATTTACTTGTTTATCCTCTATCAGCAGTCTTTATTCCAGATTGGTTCAGCATTTACATGCTGATGTGGCGATACATAACCTAAACCAATATTACTCAAGGGGAACCTCGTACACAAAAGGCTCCTCTTGATAGAGCAAATCTGTTCAGCACATTCTGACAGACAGACCACCATTCTTCTGTCATGTTGCTGTACAGGACATTTTTAGTTTTTCTATTTAAAAATAAGTAGTATTACATTTAAAGAGCAATACTTTCACGTTATCATTTTCCAAAACTTTCTGTATACCTGTATTTTGTTGTTTTTCAATAAAGAATGACAAATTATTTAAGTTTGGTTTTTGTTGCACACAAATATCTACAAAGCTAATATTTACATAACAAGTATGATTGGGTTTTGCAATACGGCACTCTGTTTATTTTAGTAAGATTTTTAAACCAAGTATAGTTATTAAAGAACACATTTCTATTGGCTGCTAAGAAACTGTTGGGATTTAAAATGGGCCTGTTGTACAAATAACTTGTAAATGATTATTCCTCACTTTGTAGTCTTAACCAAAGAAATTCCAGTAATTGAGCAAAAACATTTATTTTTTACACTACATTTTATAAAACAACAGGGCACAAAGTGTCGACACATTAAAAGAAAAAGTAAGATATTAAAATGGGCCCAGAGAGCTGCAGAGTGAGTGTAACATAGTGGTTTGAAGGAAGAACAGTTCAACAGTGTAATGGCTACAGATAAATTAGATCATCCACACTGTTGGGTAGATAACCCGGAAGGAGAGGACTGTAAGGTGTTGATTCCGGTTTGCAGCTGCCACTCCCCGGAGTGTCGGCCAGAACACTACTCTAGGCCCGGATGGCGATTCAGGAAGAAGACACCGAAGACACCCAGGATGATTTAAACGCTTGTATTGCCTCCACACAGTCAAAGGTAACAGGCTTGTTGGAGGAGCAGGTGTTACATAAAAGTTTAGGTACAGGTGTGTGTGTGTGTGTGTGGTCTCTGAAATGAACAGAAAGAAAATAGTACATCACTAAAATGTTCATAATAGTAACTCAAGAGTACATCAACAGAAACACAGGTAGGAAAGAAACGACCGTCCCCTTTGCTACCATAAATCAGATATTACCCACATCCCATATATAAACCCACTCAGCACACAATTATCCCCAATCACACGGCAGGAGAGCTAGCCTAACTTAGCTTAGCTTACAACTCGCTAACGACACAAACAGAAACCTCGTCATTTCCCTCTAACTTCGATTACAGTCACAAACACATTTTATCCGCACAACCTCACACATCACAGACTTACGTTGCTCAGTAACCCACACTTCTCACGAAATGACCACTTCTCTGCTGGTAATCGGGAGCGAACACACTCATATAGATCTCACCCACGTATCCACCTGTCCAAAACCTCTCCCATCCAAAGTGGTGGGGTGACATCTACAGGTCACTCTAAGCAACTACAGGTGAACAACTGAACAGAATGGAAAGGAGAACTCAAAACTATGGGGCCTTTTGTACAGCCGCCCCCAAATGTATGAAGTACATTTGCTCACAACAAAAGGTAACTTCTCTAATAAAGTCACTGTGACTGTCCTTTGTCTTTGTCCGGGAGGGCAGGCAATACCACCAGCCTCGCCACAGGTCGGGTGAAGGTCCTGTCTCCCACCTTGACGTCAGCAGACCTGATGTGCCCATCGGGACTGGGGTGGACCTTGGAGATGCGACCCAGGAGCCAGGAAGCGCGGGGTAGCTGAGGATCTATGATCATCACCACCGAACCTTCGGTGACGTCCGCGGGGGATGATTGCCATTTCGGGTGAAGCTGTAGGCTCGGAAGGTACAGTCGGATGAATCGAGACCAGAAGTGGTCAGCCAGCACCTGAGAGTGTTTCCATCTGCGGTGACTCAGGAGCTCTTCTTTAGGGTAAACGACTTGAGGAAGCGCCCCATCAGGCCGCCCCATCAGAAAACAGTTGGGGGTCACTGGATCAGGATCACTGATGTCGGACGGGACATAACCTAGTGGTGTGGAGTTTAAGATGCCCTCCACCTCCACAAGGACCGTACGTAGGACCTCCTCTTGTACGGGTTGAGATCCTACTGTAGTGTAGAGCGCCGTCTTAACAGATCTAATCTCCCGCTCCCACACTCCCCCAAAATGGGAACGACTGCGTTAGGGCTAGCATTAAGGTGTGGCATGTTCTGGCGGCGAAGGAGGGGGGTGGCATAGCGGTGGATGCCCTCAACATCCACACAAACTGTCTTCTGCTCCAGCAGGTTAACTACATAGTTATCTTCTTTTGACCGAGTAACCACTTTTCCTTCTGGTACTGGGACAACATCTACCTGCCATAACTTCTCCACATGCTTGAGTAACTCACTCATCTGAGGAGGGATGGCGGTCGTGAATAGGCACTGTTGTGGCAGCGAAAAGGAACCGATAAGGCTGGAGGGGCCCTGTAGTGTCCACCCTAACCTGGTGCGCATAGCAGCGGGACCACCCGGTGGACCGAGACGAACAGCTTCAGTTGGAGTGATGAGCTGTGGATGGTCACTGCCAATGAGAAGGAGGGTTTTGACCTTCTTAAAGGCCTGGAGAGGCAGGCCTCTGAGGTGCCTGTACTTCCGCTGCAAGGACTCCACCGGATAGGTGCGCTCGGCTAGGTCGATACGGGTAGCGGTGAAGGCATTGTGGACCTTGTACCTCAGCTTAGGTTCACCACCCGCGGAAATCTCGAATGAGACACACGAGCCATGCAGATTTAGCACATCTTTTCTGATAGTGCGCAATGGAAGGGTCTCTCAAATGCCTTGAAGGTCAAGGATCTGGGCAGCGGTGGGCAGCAGCATAGTCCTCTCTGACCCATCATCCAAAACTGCGTGAGTGCTCAAGGTCTTGCCATTATGGTGAAGAATGACTGGGACAACCTTTAACAGAACTTGGCTGCTCTCTGTAGGACGGTCGAGGTACAGGACGCCTGTAGGATTCCCACTTTCTCGTGGGGGAGCAGACTCTGGGCCTAAGGTCTGTAATGGCTTGGAATTAACATTGGGAAGGACGTACAAATGACGACCCTGACACAGACTGCAGGGTTTCTTGAGGGTGCACTGGGCTGCCTGATGGGAACGAGCGCAACGCCAGCACCTCTTGTTGGTCTTTATCCAGTGTGTGAGCTGTTCTCGACTCAGCTTAACGATCTCTGGACACTGACTCAGGTGGTGAGCACGGTTATCACAGAAGGCGCAGTAGGGCTGCTGCCTAGCTTTGTTTGGAGTGGTACCTACTGACCTGGGTGAGGTCTCTGCACCGTGAAGAACCGCAACAGGGCGTCTACTTGGTCTGACATCACGTTTCTCCTTGGTGATCATTGGAGTGGGTGAACCGTCATAGCCCTGACACCAGGATTCGTACTTTAACCAGGTAGACAGGTCGTCCAGAGTGTATGCCTGACCAGAATGGCTGTACATGCACCGACGGAAATCAGCTCTTTGTTCTGGAAGGAGTTTACCCAGGAGTCGAGCCATATGGGAGCCACACTGTAGTTCGACCTCCCCATCTGTGCCCAAAGTCTTCAGCATGCCCACGAGCGACTGGATGTGGAGAGAGAATCACTCGAAGGCAACTGCATCCCCTGGGCGGATGTCAGGTGAGTCCATGACAGCAGCAATACTCCGCAGGGCGAGCTGATGGGGCTGTCCAAGCCGGTCATTAAGAGCATGCATAGTGTCACTGAAGGGCGTGGCAGAATGGAGATAAGCGTCCGCTATCAACTTCGCTTCCTCCAAAGCCCCATTCCCACCTGTACCGGGTCGGCCCGGGCCGGGTAGTGTAGGTTGTTTACATATCTGGGTGGCCTGGAATTTTCCCGGGCCAACCAAGGCTCATTCTCGGCCCTCTTCCCGAGGGGTACTGCTTCAGGCCGACCAGGGCCAACACGCCCACTGCTGACAGCAAATTCACACCTTCCATTAGAGCAAGCCTCTGATTGGTGGGTAGAATCAGCCCATTCACACCTTCCATTAGAGCAAGCCTCTGATTGGTGGGTAGAATCAGCCCACATGGGCTTAAGGCAAGGATGTGTGGAATCAACCGGGCCAGGCTGGGGCCGACTGGGGCTACCCGGCCCGGGCCGACCCGGTACAGGTGGGAATGGGGCTTAAGTGGAGGTGATCTAACAAGACGTGGTACTTGAAGAGCTCTGAACTCTCCGAGGGCAGTAAGTTCTCTAGCGCCATCTTCAGTCGGGCGAATTCTCCTGGATCACGATGTGGGAGCTTGGGAATGCTTGGACGAGGCCCCCTGTAGTTCATATCCAGGGCCGCAGCCAAGCCAAAGGCTCTAGGCATCTGGGGGGCAGAGAAAGGAGTGGATGGGGACGGAGTCGGAGCTGGCAGTGGTTGCAGTGGAGGGAGGTGTCCACTTGGAGGCGGCGCTGGAGGGTAGGTGGGCCTTAGCTGAGGAGACGTGAACCTCGACTTAGATTCAGGTGGGGGAATGATCCGGCCCTCCTGTACAGTCATAGACTCCCTCTTCAGAGCCTGAAGCTCTTTCATCATCGTGTCGATGCGGTCTGTGACTGGGCTTTGACTGGGGACAGGTTCCTCCGTGAACGCAACCGGAGGAGGTGGTAGAGGCCAGTCCTCTTCCTCATCAGTAGGGGGTGGCTGGAGATGAACAGCAGGGCTTCTGGTCGGTGGATTGAGCTGCAGATTCTCCGCACGGTCCAACAGCTGCAGCAAACTAGCATGAAGTGCCTGGAAATCAGCCAGCCCAGCTCTCATCTGGTCATGTGATTGCTGTAACAGGAACCTTTCACGTTGCACATCCTCCAACTCTGCTCTCATTGGTGTGATTTGGCTGTATGAGCGGGATTCAGAGGGGTCAGATGGCGGATGGTGGGAAGAACGGGTGTCACCTCCTATTTCACTTTCCTCCCGGTAACCTGCACCAAGCCAGGGGTAGTCAGTCTCATAAGGTTCATATCGTAGGGGACGACGTACATTACGCCGTGGGCACGCACCAAGAGCTGAGAAGTTCTGAATGTCATCCATCTTGTTAGGGTAGAAGCAGCTTACATCCGGCTCGAAGGACCACTAGTGTTGGGTAGATAACCCGGAAGGAGAGGACTGTAAGGTGTTGATTCCGGTTTGCAGCTGCCACTCCCCGGAGTGTCGGCCAGAACACTACTCTAGGCCCGGATGGCGATTCAGGAAGAAGACACCGAAGACACCCAGGATGATTTAAACGCTTGTATTGCCTCCACACAGTCAAAGGTAACAGGCTTGTTGGAGGAGCAGGTGTTACATAAAAGTTTAGGTACAGGTGCGTGTGTGTGTGTGGTCTCTGAAATGAACAGAAAGAAAATAGTACATCACTAAAATGTTCATAATAGTAACTCAAGAGTACATCAACAGAAACACAGGTAGGAAAGAAACGAACGTCCCCTTTGCTACCATAAATCAGATATTACCCACATCCCATATATAAACCCACTCAGCACACAATTATCCCCAATCACACGGCAGGAGAGCTAGCCTAACTTAACTTAGCTTAGCTCTCGCTAGCGACACAAACAGAAACCTCTAACTTCGATTACAGTCACAAACACATTTTATCCGCACAACCTCACACATCACAGACTTACGTTGCTCAGTAACCCACACTTCTCACGAAATGACCACTTCTCTGCTGGTAATCGGGAGCGAACACACTGGCTGTGTCTGAATCCAGAGGAAGGATGCTTGTAAGAGCGCATTTTGAGGTCGATGACGTCAAAGCGCAGCGACGAGTACTGTCCGAATTCCAAGAATCCTCATTCTCGCGTCCTCAAACGCGTCCTCGCTCCACCCACATTTCGAGGATGGGTCTGATGGATCCTCACAGGAGCAAGGGTATCCCAGCATGCTTTGCACGCCGGCCGCTGGACTCGACACTCGCAACAACGGCGGACGGAGCGGGACAGCAGTACAGCTTAAAATGTAAGTTAGTTAAAGAAATAGCGGTCAAAAAAATAAAATACGTGTTTGGGCACTTTTGGTTTGTTTTTCATATAAGATCTAATACTGCAAATTGTTTTTTTCATGTAATTTAAGGCTAAAACATGCCCCACCGAAAACCAGCTTGAATGTTTAATAGGAAAAAACCCACCGTAAACTAGCTTGATCCCAGCAGGCGTTTTAAAAGAAAATAGCGGTAGAAAACTAAGCTGAAAGCGGTTCTGTTTATAGACATTTTTCGTTTGTATAAGTACATTTTAAGCAGAAATCAGCGAGAACGAGCTCGTATGGTGGTCCCGTCATAATTCCCGTGTGTGTGTGTTTATTTAGCGAATAAAGCTTCTCATCATTTGTTTTAAGGCTAACACCCCACCGTAAACTTGCTTGAAAGTCTAATAGGAAAAAAACTCACCGTACAAGAGCTTGCATCTTATGTAATCATGTAACGAACGCCAAAAATAACGAAAACTAAGTTTAATGTTTATTTAAGTTAATTTTTAAGAAACCACGTTACTGATTTAATGTTTTTAATTTCATTTTAGGCGGAAAAAAACACAGAACACAATTTTCATCTCCCATGTTGATAAATTAAAATAATGTTTATTGCATGTTTTATCAACTATGATTTATAATCTGACTTTGTTCTTCTATTCCTCTCTATTCTCATCCAGAACCAGTACCTTTAAGGAACATCTGTAATTTCATTATGCCCACAGTGTTCTCTGTTGTTAAATGACAATAAAGCCTTGTAATTCTAATTCCCTTTGTCTGTAGGACTGCAAGTATCCAGGGTCAGGAGAGGGAGTCAGCGGAAAGCCCACTGCTGAAACCTGGCCCTGGTTTGTCCCCATGGACGAGGTGTTGGGACAGAGGCCTTCCACTATGCCTCCTGTCCTTATTGCTTCCATTCCCGAGGACACTCCAGGGCCAAGTGCAGCAGTGGGTGAGACAGAGGACAGGGAGAGTGGTGGAAGGAAGCAAGACTCCTCATCAGGGAGAAAAAGGAGAAGGGCTGATGAGCTCCTTGACCTGATCAGGGAGGACATGAGACAACAGAGGGAAGCGGAGGAGAGAAAGAAGGATGGACAGATTTTTAGCATTGATGGAAAGGATGGCAGAGAAATGGGTTTTTTTCTTTTAGTTTCTTCTGGTTCAGGTTCTATATATGTGTTTGAATGTTTTTGTTATTTGTTTAAATGTAATAAAATTTCTATTAATTGATAACTCTTTTTTGATCATTAACAGTTTTATTATTCAGTTTTTAACAAGTAACAACATAGTAAATAAATTGTAAGGGAACACTGCAAGGAATAAAAGTAAAATATATACAGAAAACTTGGAAAGCAGGGAGTCTTTGGTGGTGTTGCTAAATCTACTGAACATGGATCATCGAGGTGGATGGAGTGCAGGAACCGAGATCCGTGGCTGAACGTTTCTGGTTGGCAAGTGGAACATCAGACAGAGTGGTCTGCAGAGGGTGCTTCTGGATGCCTCATCTCACTGACCACTGCATCGTCCATCAAAAGGGTTTGCTGGGCTGGCTCAATCGACGGCTGTCACATCACTAACATTCAGATATATGCAAAAAAGGAGATCATGAGTATAATACTTGTAACTCTAGCAGATAACAGGACTAAATGATTTTTAAACTAGATTCCTACGTAAATTACTTGCCTGTTAACAGTAATTGTGATCTGGTGGTACTTCCTCCAGAGCAGACACCTCAGCAGAAAGTTGGTCCCGCCAGAGGGCACCACTGACTGCCTCCAAACCAGCCTCCCCCTCATCTTCTGGAGCATCATCCTCCAGTTCATCGTCCTGCACCACAATGTCACCAGCACTGAGGCAGATGTTGTGCAGGATGGTGCATGCTGTGATGACCTGTAATAGAGATAAAAATTTAATTTATATTTCATTTCCAAACAAAGATTACACCCAAAGTTTATTTCCACTTTGTGTTAACTTACATGAGGTACAAATGTGTGGTGGACTTCCAGCGCTTTCAGGAAGATGGTCCTGAACCTGGTCTTCATCATTCCAAAAGCATGCTCGATGATGCAGCGTGCCCTGGAATGATGGCTGTTGAAGCGCTGGGCTCCCACACCTTGAACCACCCGTTTGTAGGGGGTGATGAGGGGGAGTGGATGTTGGAGGCATGGGTACCCTCCATCCGCGAGGATGAAGTGCCCTGGAGGAGGAAAGGCTGACTGCCTGTACAGTGGGCTGTGCCGGAGGACCCTGGAGTCGTGGACCGACCCAGGCCAGCCCACATAGGTGTCGATAAAGCGGCCCTGATGGTCACAAACTGCCTGCAGGATGATAGATGGGAACAGTTTCCTGTTTCTGTAGCACTGACCATCAGGACCTCTCGGAGCCTTGATCCGAATGTGCAGCAGTCGATCGCACCTGCTGCTTTCATGAAAGCTCTGTGTCGAGCCAGCCCAGCAAGCCCACGAGACACAACCTCCATCTCCTCTGGGGTTTTGGGGAGGTGAATGACCTGGTGGAGGATTGCGACCACATCCTCCGTGACTCAATGGACGATGTCGTGGACAGTTGAGCGAGGCATCCCAAATACTCTTGAGACCACTCTGTAGAATGTTCCACTTGCAGACCAGAACAGAAACACCAGGGTCTCGATTGTGGCACCCCAACCATGTCGCCGATCTTGGTTCAGGAGATTTAGCAACACCACAAAAGACTCCCTGCTCAGACGAAAATCTGGCCTGGGATCTTCCTGGTTAAAAAAACCGGTCCAGGACTGGCACACTCATGTTTATCCTACAGTACAGGGGTCTGTTCTGTTAAAAGAAAAGTAGAGAACAATAAAACAATTAAAAAAAAACCTGTATAAATGCTTGAGATTTTTAGAAGAGAGCTAGGCATTATTATGCATAAGTTGAAAAGGACAATACATATTAAACACATTGTAATGCTACTTTTACTATGAAATTTATGAACAGAACCAAGCATTATGATCAAATACAAACTTCTAAAATGTCATTCCATTAATTATTTTAGATGAATATAGGTTAAATTAACTATATGCATGTTAGTCTACTCTATACTAATGTGTATATTCAGCCACATGTCTTTCTGTTGCTTAAAATATAAATGAAACTAGCACTAAAGTTAACATGTAATGCCTGAAAGCTGGTTCACTAAACAAAAAATAATTTTACCTGGATATGGCTGCTTCTCAGCCTTAAATACAAAGGCCGGTGACGTTTACTAAGCAGTCGCAGCTCCTCAAAAACCAAAAATAAAAGGGAATACTGCAGTGGATCCATTTTCACCTCTGACTAGCTTGTTAGCTTGTTAGCCTGTTTGACGCCGTCACGGTAGCTAAGCAACTGGACCTGGGGGCGGGAATAAAAACGAGGCTAGTACTGTCCGAATTCAGAGCCGCTGACTTATGTTTATGTTTATGTTTATGTATTTAGCAGACGCTTTTGTCCAAAGCGACTTACAAGTGATAATCGGCATTTTGCCCTTGAGGCTAACTCCCTGTTTTAGTGGTCTAGCAAGGACCGGCGAGGACCTGTACTCACAAGCATCCTACCTCTGGATTCGGACACAGCCACTCATATAGATCTCACCCACGTATCCACCTGCCCAAAACCTCTCCCATCCAAAGTGGTGGGGTGACATCTACAGGTCACTCTAAGCAACTACAGGTGAACAACTGAACAGAATAGAAAGGAGAACTCAAAACTATGGGGCCTTTTGTACACACACATTAGCTATAACAGTCAGGGATATGTTTATCCTGTTTGCCTGAAAATGAATCTGTCATAAAGGCCAAATTCAACAGCAGCGAGACTCCCACCTGGAAGTCTTTCATTGCTTTTGGAGCTGGCCTTTAAGACAATCGGCAAGATTAGTTTAAAATATATCATTTCCCCTATTAGTGAAATGAACTCTGGGTGTGTCCGAATCCAGAGGAAGGATGCTTGTGAGTACGAGTCCTCGCCGGTCTAGCAAGGCCGGGTCCTTGCAAGACCGCTAAAACCAGAAGTATCGCGTCAGACCCGTGCCACAACCCGTGCACGCGCATTGGGTTCACAGCGCGCGTGTGAACGGGATTCGCGAGCGAAAATATACATGGCAGCGCGCGCGTGAACGGGACTGGCGAGCGAAAATATACATGGCGAGAGGTCATTTGTGCGCTGAGAGGGAGCAAACTGTGTCTGTGAGCGCACAAGGATGTGCACAAGTGACAAACCTGCGTGCGCGCGTTGCCAACGAGCACACGGCAGAGGAAAACGTGCGCGCGCGGCAGCCTCTCTGCGCGCTCGGCAGCCTCTGCGCGCTCGGTTTCTAATTCCGCTCGCTCGGCTGTGAGGAGTTTTGGCACTCTGGAGGCGTGGCCTGTGGCAGATCTTCCCTGTCCTCTGATTGGTTAGTTTACCCCGCACTTTACTCTCTAGCTATCTATATAAAAAAATCTGAGATTCAGTAGTTGCTGTCATAGCTCAGCTGGGAGAGCGGGTGACTCTCACTCTGGAGGATCCAGGTCCGAGTCCGGCCAAGGAACATAGAGTTGATGTCATATTATTCTTTCCTAAT